AGAACTGAATTCTTTAAACAAAATGGCCGCCAGTCGGCCATTTTGAACCCGATCCAAAAAAAAAAAATGACGTGCATCAAGGTCCTATTATGTTTAATGTATGTACCAAATTTGAACAAAATCCGTCCATGCATAACTGAGATCCGGGTCCGGAATGGTGAAAATGTGCGATTTTGATGCATTTTCGGCCTTAAAATGGCCGCTATTCGGCTATCGTTAATCGGATCATGAAAAAAATGCATGTGCATATGTCCCATATAATGTGTGATGTATGAGTGAAGTTTGAACTTAATCAGTCCATGCATGTTCGAGATACAGGTGATCACGGACGGACGGACGGACGGACGGACGGACGGACGCACGCACACAGGGCAAAACATAAGTCCCCGTTTTCGGACTGCGTCCGAACGGGGACTAACAAAATATGAATCACTATACATTCCTAGCCAGGAGTTTCAGGTGCAATAGCATTAAAGTTTATGTACAAGGACAAGGATTAGACCAAGGATATTGATCAATTCCTTTTATCAAAGAGTGCAAAAAGCCCAGTGTTTTCGCTCAACAAATTTGCTGCTATTTTCCACAAGAAAGTAAAGACAATTATCAATTTTGTTGCTAATGGATTATATTAAAGTTGCTCAAATAGTCAGTTTCTCAATTTTTTTATTATTTATTTACAGATAATTACAGATGGAAACCGCGCTATATGGCTATTGACTTGACACAAGCACTTTGTCATGAGAGGGCGGGAATTTCATGACAGCTACATTATGTTTGAAATTATCCAAAGCAACTGTAAGACATCACAATAACATAATATACGAAGGACAAGGATGTCATAGTAACTCTAGGAAAGCAATAAAAACAATTATTGACACACACTGACGAACAGAAAAACTATAAAACTTACCGACAAGCATTGCCTTTGAAGGCACGATTGTTTCATGCGACCAGGACCGCCATACTTTTTCATATCCTTGCAGAAAGAACATTTGCTGCAATCACCTCGTAAACAATTTTCACATTTCCGACACCGTGTCCGCCTTCGGCGCACAGCACCAGGTTTAGTTGGTTTGGAAGTATGAGCTGCTTTCGGCTTGGTTCTTGCCTATAGTACACAAATAAAAAGAAATAGAGACAAAGTTAGCAGAATTTTCATATATACAAATGCAACGCTCATATATTGAACTTAACTCAGACATGCTGCTCTCGCGTCATTCAATATCATGATTGCACTCCACTTGTACACTATCCGATACATAACAAGCAACCTCTTGACTGAGATAGCTCCGCTGTTAGCAATGCACATTTCAATATATTGTTAAGATATTGTTAAAAACAGAAAAAGAATTCGAAAATATCACTTTTTATCAAAGATGACAAAACTATTTATAAAAATTAGAGAATTGAAGATATCATCACAAAATGAACAAATCTCAAAGGTCTACTTGAGGTAAATACACACATCAAAGCCATAAGAATTGTAGTTTCCAAAAAGAAGTTGAAAAAAGTAAAAAGTTGACACGGACAATAGACGCCGCCAGACAATCACTCATATAAGCTCCGCTCGATAAATAAAAAGGATAATGAAAAAAATTAGTGAAACTGCAACATCAAACCAAGCATGATTGAAACTGGCAAAATCAACTCTTTAGTTTGCAGATGCATTTGAATATTGGCATTTTCTCTTGTCTTTTTACGTCAAAAATGATTGGCATATTTGAACACATCAAAATGACAATAGATGACACTGTACAATCCAAATTTTAACAGAAATCCATCTACCGTATATGCATGTCTGAAAAAATGTTCTTGATAAAGACAACCAAAATTATTCACTGGGTTTTAATTTCGCTATTTTTTCTAATAACTAAAATCCGGTAAATTAACAATAAAATAACAATATGTAAAATAACAATAAAACTCACTGTTTTCTTTACCCCTTCAAGAAATTAAAACCAAGAATGTGCTTAAAACATCGAAATAGTGAAATTACATGTCAGTGAAAATAAATGGTTTTACAGTAAAAAAGTTATTTGTTTTATCATTTTTTTTTACTTTAAATTTTAAATGAAATCATTGAAGAGTAGAGTACCGGTAATAGGGGAGTTTCCATTCAGTACAGTGAATTTTTTTCATCAGATCAGAGGACATTTATTATATAGGACAGTCAAGTTATTAGGTCAATATTCAGAATAATTGCTACACGATAAAACTGAATTTCTCAATATTTGAATTTTAATGCATAGCACTATGATCTTATTACTAGATGGAAATGCAATTCTAACATTTGTACAACTCATTGATATGCCAAACGCATGCAATGCAGAGTGCCATCTGGATTGTTAACAATTGTTTAGCATAGTAGAACTAAATAAAAAAAATATTTGAAATATAAAAGCACCATATGGCCTCAATACAGTCCATCTGTCAATTTGCACAGAATAGAAAATTACAAAAAAAGCACAATAAATGTCAACACACCATTGTACAATTAAGTCAGAAATTCATACTTGAAAATTCAAATGCAATTCAAATAAATTATTTTTCGACTTCTTAAAATTTAATCAGGCATGTCAATATTACAATTAATTTTGAAAATTTCCTTTCAAGATCCTGAAGAGCAAGCA